AGGGGGGGGGGGGGAGAATGGAAAATAGTGCTGTTTCTCAAGAAAAACGTCTCTTTGTCACAGACAGACGTGAAGAAAATCACTATTTGAAAAACTGGCTTATTGCACGTATGGTAAGGGAGTTGACTGCATCTATTCCAAAAAACCCCAAAGTTGGAATGGCCTTCTTAAAAGGTCTAGCTCTTTAAGGTTTTATTTGCCTGCCGTGTCTCGCCGCTATTAGTGCTGTGTTTTTGACTTATAATTTCTGAAGAACTGTATCTTACATTGTAGTATAGTTATATGGAATGTAATCTCTGTTTTCTTTCTCTACTGTAAGAATATTAAAAAACTTCTGAAGATACCGTATAGCAAGTCACACGTAAGCATGGCAGTACATCGAATTGGGCGGACTCTCTTGCTGGATGAGCTAGATATTCAAGAACTCTTCATGAGATCATCTCAGGTTAACCATTTGTTTTTAAGTATGCCGTATGGTCAAAATGCAGTATTTCAAGAATGATGTAGCAGGCAAGCGTACATGTATCAAAATGGCTGAGAAGCCTGTGCAAGCACAAAAAGTCTGCATGAAGCATATGCTGCTGTTTTGCAGCAATCGGTTTATTCACAAACTGCAATAGAGGATCTGAAGTCCTTTTACCTGTGATATTGTAGGATTGAGGTTTCATGTCCCACTTTCCTGTTATTGCTTCAGTATTGTTGTACTATTCTATAAATACTATTAATAAAGTATGCGGTATTAATTAATCTCTTACCATGTATCTCACTGAAAAGTTGATTTCATTGTAATGTAACTTTGTAGCTAAAACTCTTGAATCGGTTATTTATTGAAAACAGACATCTAGAAAAACTGTCTGCTGTTCTTTGGGGATGAGCATTCGTAAGTCAAGTCAGGTACTTGGTTTGCTTTGCAGATGTTTCTTGACATTAATTTCATGTATATGATGTTGCCTAGACAGGAGACTGGACATGGTTAAAAGAGTTTTATCAAAGACTGATTGATCAGAAGTGGCAACGAAAAAAGAAGAGTAAAGAGCACTGGTACCAGAAGGCTATACTTTCCAAATTTTTATATTACAGGTACCTTCATGTTTTTGTCCATCTTGAATTCTGTGCCACCTTACTTTTTCCTCACTCCTCGTCTTGAAATAAATGTTAGAATTGGACTGTAGTTTGTCTTATTTACTGCTTTATGCTTTTGGAGAGGAAATTCAGGGTTGAGATCAGGAAATGACTAGAGTATCAATGGTTTAATAGAAATTAAAGTATTCCAAATTAAATTTAAAGTATAAAGTAAACAGCTTGACTTAACTGACTGCATATCTCAATATTCCTCCTGAGACCTGAGGATGAGGGAAGACCTTAAAATATGCATGATTCAGTAATATGGCAGGTACCATAATCTAAGTGTTTGAGCAATGAACAACTTTTCAATATACCAGTCTCTTAGTGTATCAGCAAAGTCATTCTTTGAGAATAAAGTGCATCAAATACAGTAATTCTAAAGCAGATTCTGGTTGCATATTGCTGACTGAACTTTTAATGTTGCTTTTGTCAGTATTAATGGTGATGGAGCTGCTCAGCCTGTTCCTTCCACTTCAAAACAGCACCAAGAGGGTCCTGTTTCAGGCGAGAGTGATGAAGCAGGAAGGGCCTCCTGGCCAGCTCCCTTTGAAATGCCTTCTTCAATATCTGAAGATCCAGGTGTCTCCAGCCAGGTTAGTGCCTTATATTTTAACTTGGGTAGTTAACTTATGAAGATTCTAACCTGCATCAGTCATAAAATCATAACTTTGTGTTATGGTATGGTAATATTCTAAAGTGGAGAAATAGTTGTACTTCAGTACTTGGAAGTTTTTAGAAAAAGGACTATTTCTGTCTTCTGCCTTCTTGAGGAAGTATAGACAAGTCAGGCAGGCTGCTTATCATAAAGTCTTGCGCATTTGTATAGTGTAACTTTTATAAATAAGACTTCAAGATAAAGGACTTATGGGAGATGGATAATCTGATGCTGACTCTGGAGTAATACATGGTTTCTCTAAAAAGTTTCTTATTTCTTTCCAAAGGTAATGAGAATATAAAGTAAAAAACTTATATTCTAGTTACAGGAAAGAAGCATTCTAGTCGTTAACTAGAGGCTTTGTATCACTTTGTATACTTATTTAAAGATGTTAGAGGGGAAGGTTTTTGCTTTATATGCTTTTCTTGTTCAGAATATTATTTTCTGTACATATATATAAATATATATACACACACATTTGTTCTCTCTCTCTCTCTATAATATATATATTTATTTATATATTCTATGGCCTAGCTTTACCTCAGCAGCAGAATCACTCCTTATCCTTGTGCTTTTCACAGGGAAGTGTGCCTCTTGAACCCTCATATATAGTGGGGCATGTGGCCTCCGCCCCCAAAGAACAAAACCTGACTACTTTGTTCAATGACGGGGAAAACAGTCAGGTATGCTATATGTGAAATCTGAGTGCAAGCACATAACCCTCAATCCAACATTTTAAAATTTGGTCTTAATTGGAATCAAGAGAGAAATTTAGTCCCTTGTAGAAGTAGCTTTTGGCATCTGTTGATCTTAATCTTTTAAGTTAACGTGATTGCATAGTATAGTTCATTATGTGCTGTCTTTTATTTGCTGCTTTTGCATCTTGCTTTCTTGTAACTCTGCAGACTGTCATTGAGAACATGTTTTTATAATAATGATTTATAGAGCAATTTTTTCTCTTAATGAAGGGACTTAAAAATGACTTTGTTCGTAACATCTTGTGGACCTTTGAAGATATCCACATGTTAGTAGGATCAAATATGCCTATATTTGGAGGTGGGAGATACCCTGCTGTGAGCTTGCGTCTCAGGTGATTTTTGATGTTACTGAGATATATGTGTCTATGCCCCTCTTGACTGACTTGTTACGTTGCTTTTCTGTTGAGCTATCTGCATTTTGTTTTGTTGACTCTTACTTTTTATGTGCAGCTTAAAGAATAAAATTAATTCTCTAAACTTAAATGGCAATGGCATTATAAAGCAGTGGAAATCAGAAACAATCCGACAGCCATGCTGCTGCACTGGGACTTGATATGCTTTGCGGCTTTCTGACTCTATGCTTAATTCTGATTTGAAGCACTGTCTGTTAGCAACCTTTGCCGACTTTAATGCAAGTATTTAGGTTTAAGAACCAGATTTACAGAAGTGCTCTAACCTGTGCTTTATTACTGTTTTTATAAAAGAAGGAAGTAATATTTCTTATTGGCGTTCTGAATATCAGTAACTGCTGGTTGGGTGCTTCATGAATACTTAGCTTGTAACTATAATGCTTCTACATTCTACCTGTCTTACTGTTCATTAATATTTCACGTTGATTACTTGGTTAGTGGTCTTTCTGTTTCTGCCAGTGCAGAGGCCAAGAATGAGCAAAACTTGAAGCTTTTGTAATTGCTTGATGTCATTTTGTCACTTTCTAAGATGCATCTAGCAATTAACAGTAACCTGCTTTGCAAGGAATTTTTGAAAGTCTATGAGAAGCCTTACACTATGCTTAGTTGCAGCTAAGGCTACCATTTCTTTAACTTCTTAAGTACTTATTATCTTGGTTGTAGCATGGGGTGAAGCTTGTTACAGTTTCAGTTAAGTGTGGGCAAAAAATCCAATCTGCTGAGGGAATGTGAGTGTATTCCGTTGTAGTCGAAGATATCGATTGGTACATCTGTTTGATATAACTCCTTGGTTTGCTTCTTTAAAATGTAACAATTCAGAAATTATTTGCGGATCAGTATACTCTCAGGTGCCTTAAAAATCTAAATCTCAGAAGTAAACGTATCCTAATCTTTTATGAAGAGCAAGCGAAGACTAGAAACGTTTGTTTTTAGGGATAACAACAAGCCAATAAACGTGCTAACGGGAATTGACTATTGGCTGGACAACTTAATATGCAACGTCCCAGAGCTTGTGATGTGCTTTCACGTTAATGGAATTGTTCAGGTAAGCTTACCTCTTTGCATTACGCCTACTTTATCAATTCTTTAGTTTCTGAAATCTGTCCAGTACTAACAGATCTTTCTAATCTTGACCATTCTGACAAAAAGATTACAAGAATTCTTTATTGTGGAACATGAAGCAGATCCACAACTTGCATTAGTCATCCAAAAATATTGAGTTTTCTTTTTCTCCCTTCCATGCACATAAGATTCCCACCTCTCCTGTTGGATACGTATAATTGAGACAGAAATAAAAAATATATGTGTACCAGCAGAAATGTTTTTTGCATTTTAAAATCTGTAGTGTTCACTTGGCAAGACAGGTGCACTTCTTTTTTTAAGTTTTTTGTTTGTATTTACTATTTAACGATAGAGCACAAAAACCCATATGGGTTTATCTGTCGTATCTGGTAGCATGTTATTGGTTAGGTTGTTTTGTTGAAATAATTACACTAGAAATTGCACCTTCACCATTTTTCATCTTTTTTTCCCCACTGTTTACCTTAAGCGTGTCATAACACTGAGTCCTTTTTGAAACTTTTCAGTGATGTAATTAGGATACCCTTACTTTTAAAATAAGTAAATCATAGAATGAACTCAATTTATTCTGACAAAATCGTTACTGTGTCACAATAATAGACTTTGTTTTCTCTTAGGTGACAAAAGCTGCTTATCTGCAGATCAGGGTGGGGGGGATTGGTCAAAAAACAAAACAAAAAACTACTGAACTTGAGTTTTAAAATATGTTCCCTACAGAAATATGAAATGATCAAGACTGAAGATATTCCCAATTTAGAAAACTCAAATTTCTCTACCAAAGTGATAAAGGATATTGCTCAAAATATATTATCTTTCCTGAAATCAAATTGCACCAAAGAAGGACATACTTATTGGTTATTTAAGGGTAGGTAGATTTAGATCAATAAGATAGAGCTCATGGCGTTTTTTAATGTCATGGTGATTAACTAAAGATCTTACCTTTCAGCAAGTGGGAGTGATATAGTAAAGCTATATGACCTAACCACTCTTTGTGAAGAAACAGAAGACAAATACCAAAACCCTTTTACAATGCCCGTGGCAATTCTTCTGTACAAGTGAGTTTTTATGATTTTTGTCATAACGTTTAGTTCTTAGGTGCAGTTCCACATCTACAGCCCAAAACTTATTATGAAATGGAAATATATTCTTTTATGCACAAGAATGGTAAGCCACCCTCACTGAATCAAAAAAGAATTTCCCCTTTTCACTATTTCGCCATGTAAACTATGCTTTTATTGGTCAAGGCCTGTAGACCTTTCAAAACGTTTAGGGAGGCCTACTTTTGTGATCATGTTGCTTGAAGCTTTTTTCTTCTAACCTGAAGAAATTATGCAGGAGTTACAATTTTGTTCAATTTCTTCTAGAGTTGCTTGCAATATGATGCTGAAAAAGAACCAGAATAAGAAGCACTATGGCACTATCAGAACTTTGCTCCTTAATTGTCTGAAGTTACTGGATAATGGCAGACATCCTCAAGTAAGGGTTATGTTTTCTTGTAGCTTTATGTGAATATAATGGAGAAGCTCACATCAAAATATCTACACTAATGTCCTGTGCAGTGCTTCTTCCTCCCCTTGCCCAATAGGCACTAATACCAGAATAGCATGTTTTAGGAATTAATGGGTTGATCTTGCTGTCTTTATCTGAGGTAACAGGTGTGCTCTTTATGTACCCAAGAACTTATGTTTTATTTCTTTTAGTAGTAGCCTCCACTGACCTTCATTGTTGTGCAAGTCATCTGCCCTAAGAAGAAACTTGTTACTAGATAAGCTCTCTTGATATTGTTCTGTCAGAGCCCTTTTGTGTTTGGAAGCTGTAGAAACAGTTATCGAAGCAGACTTTGGCTAAAGAGCAAAATATCTAAATAAATAAGCTCAGCAAGTAGGAGAAAGAAATAGAGGCTGGGATGTGAAGTGATTCTTGGGGCGAATAGATGGGAGAGTCAGAAAAAGAACCTCACACTCTTGATCGTTGTGTTACCCCTCAATAGCCTGAGACAGCGCACGTATTTAAAAGCAGTAAGAAAGGCACTGAAAATGTCTGAGATAAAGCTATGTTAATCTGCTTTATTCTAGGTATTTGACTTTCTTTTCTAACAAACCAGAATCCAACAGCTGTGAAAGATGGGCAGTTGATTCAAGTTTAGGGGAGTAAAGGAGTGTGTGTCCAAACTTAGGTATCGCTGCTACCAGACGTGCTAGCTTCCCTTTTAGTAGCAGAAGATAATAGGATATGTCTCACTCTCTTTTGGATCTTCACTGTGAAGTCTGTTCACAATCTGTAGCTTATCTTAAATTGAGAAATCTGTTCAGAGTAGTAAGAGAATATTAAAGTATTTAACCAAAAAAGTAAACTGGCATAGTGCAGCAGAATTGGAAGCTGATCGGGTAGTAATTGCTTTATGCAGACTGTGATAGAATGACATGGTAACTTAACCTTTTTACTCTTTATAGACAACAGATCACAACTTTCAAAAAGAAATCATCTGGAAAGCTATTGAACTTCAAATCTAATCCAAAATATAATTTAATTTACATGCAATTGGTCTGGATTTAATCTGTTTTTAACTGAAAATTAATGCCAAAATCTGACTTGCATTTAGAATGGGTTACAAGGAGGAGATAAGGCATATATTCACTAGATGCATAAGTATTTTATGGATTGCTTCTAAAGTTTTGAAAAGTTCTTGAAATTGTACAAAGTGTTCTTACTTGCAATCTTCCTCACGTTTGCCTTTTGTGACATACAGGTTCTTAGAACAGGTAATATTCATTCTTTATCAGTTTTTATTCTCTTCTGAATTCAGGCAGGCTTGCCTGAATTCATTAGCTTGCCTTTTCCCGCATGGGATTTTGAACTCTTTAAATACCTTTTTTACTATGACAGCAGAGACTGCTTATCGGAGCTGAATTGAACTCATGTTCTTGGACAGTGCTGGCCTTCTTTGCCTGTGCAGCTTTTATATTGCTTGAGGGAAATGGTAGAATAACTCATTTTATGCATTTTTTGTTTTCACCTCTGCAAAAAACCCTCCAAAATATGCAAGAAACATAAGACTTATGTTTAGCTGATAGTTCAGGCAAATGTCTAATGCCAAAAGGTTGTTATCCTGGTGGAAGGTTACTTAACATGGCTTATGTGATGTGATAGTGCTATTATGAAGAACTAGTATCTTACTTCCATGTTGTATGAAATTGTCAAACTGAATTCTGGTCTGGTGTCACTAGACTCCAGCAGAACCAGAAGCTAGTACGTGCCTTTTTAGCAGAACCAGAACCTGTAAGTAAACATGCCATCACTATGAAGAGGATTTCAGTTTCTAGCTCTGGTATTGACTGTAATATCTTTCTTGAGCTGTCAAAAATGAAGAGTGGGAAAATAGGAAGTGGAAGAAAGGATTGTGAACACAGGGAGTAGTGGTGGCTGTTGGTTTTGTTTTTTGGTGGCTGGCTTCTCTTAGGCTACCCTCTTGCTGTGTTTTAGAAGTTAGTCTTAACACGTTTGTCTGGATAGAATTATTTGGAATATTCAAGATGTAAAAGGCAGGACTTAATATCCCACAGATGAGCCCCAAGGGAGAGGATTAAAAGTTATTTACTCAATGCTTGCTTGGTGTTAGTAAAAAGTACAGCTCAAAAGCAAGAGATCTCACTGTAAAAATAACTTGAGTTAATTCTAGAAATTATGCCCCAGCATAATTACTTCATGTGTGTATTGAGCAATAATGAAAGTCTCCTTGGCAGTCAGATCCCACTTCAAGTGCTGAAATCCAAAGCGTCACACCTGAAAGCTATTACTTAGTGTTTGCGTAATCCTCAAGGTACAAAGGATTTAGTAATTTAAGGTGGAGCCTAAGCATCTAATGTAAGATGGTGCATTCTAATTTGGGGACTGAGTGCCTAACAGCAAGTCTTGAAATGACCTGCTTTTCTTTTTTGCTTGATCTGGTCCAGATTTTCTAGTGACCTTGATGCAGTCGGACTCATCGATGTCCTCTTGTGGTAAGAATGTGAGAGCTTTCTGAGTAAGAGTTCAGACCTCAAGTAAACTTGAGAGAGAAAAGATCTTAAAATGACTACTTTTTTAATAGCTCAAAGTATATAGCCTTTCAAGTGAGAACTGAGTTGTGACAGCAGCCTGTTGGTAGGGATCAACTTCATGTGAAGAAAAGAAATAGCTAAAACTGTTTGCTTGATTTGAGTGTTTGGTTTTTTTCTTCTGTTTCTATATCCTTATGTTCCTTGTTGAGACTAAATACCCAGAAGGAAGTCGATTGGAGTTACTCTATTCCTTAATAGGAATAGACTTAAGAGGACTAACAGAGTCCTCTTAAGACTAATGAGGCTATTTGTTAAGCTCATTAGTCTTTTTCTTTTTACTACTGTTCAGTGGCAGGCTGCATACACTTTGTTAATTCATGCTAGGATAGATGTAAATATAGCAGTGCTCTTGCAGCAGATCTTTCTTGGGCTGTCTTTGAACTATTTCTATCAAAAGGAGCTTTTTTGTTTCTTAGAAAAACAAGCCTGAAGAAAGGAGTAAGGGGTGGGAGACGCTTGTTTGTTTTGGCTGTCACTAGTGTGTATTGTATTTATCCTGACTTATTGTATGGTTTTGTGTCTGTAACTCACTACCAAAATCAAGCTACAGTTACCTCTACAACTTATGTGCCCTGGTATCCTATTTGACATCTGAATTTTAGCTTCAATCCTTTATTTCTTGATTTTAAGAAGTTGAAATTGACTCCATGCTCTAAATCACAGAATCACAGAATCGTTTAGGTTGGATGGGACCTCTGGAGATCATCTAGTCCAACCTCCCTGCTCAAGCAGGGTCACCTAGAGCATATTGCCCAGGGTCACATCCAGACGGGTTTTGAATATCTCCAGGGAAGGAGACTCCACCACCTCTCTGGACAACCTGTTCCAATGCTCTGTCACCCTCACAGTGAAGAAGTTCTTTCTCAGGTTCAGATGGAACTTCCTGTGGTTCAGTTTCTGCCCATTGCCTCTTGTCCTGTTGCTGGGCACCACGGAGAAG